GCCAGCTGCTTCCTGGCATCCAAGAGGTTTTGCAAGAGGGTGCCATGGGCAGGAGAGCATCCTCATCATGCCTAAGCCCTAATTCAGCCCTTGAAGAACAGAGGCTGCTACAGCTGAGAGAGCAGTTTGGCACAAGAACCTGGACAAGCACCAGGCACCCCAGGTCACCATGGTCACACCCCACTCCCATGCCAGCCAGAGCCCTCCCTGCTCTGGCCAAGCCTGGTGCCACTTCCAGCAGAGGTTTCCTGAGCAAACACAGCTTGTGTACAGTTAAAAGCTCTGACAACCTTTGCCCTCTGCACATGGCCTTGCTTGCACCCTACAGCACGGTGCAGCCCCAAAGCTGGGGTGCTCTGAAAGCAACTCATCATTGCAGGTGAAACCCAGCCCAGTGTGCTGGGGAGGCAGCAGGCATGGGAGGGCACAGGGGGTCCAAAGGAAAAGCCATGTGCTCCACAGAGATGCCTCCATCCTGACCCTGGCAGATCTCTGTCCCAGACACACTGCCCCAGGCTTCTCTGCCAGGGATTTTGCCAGCCTCAGCTTGCACAGGAATGCCACCTTGGAGATGTGGAGAGGGGGATTTATCCCAGCACAGGATGCTTTGCTGGGGCTGGAGGAGCTGCTGCAGCACCAGCACTGCCAGGGTGCTGCATCCCATCCAGCAGGGGAGCTGGGAGCTCAGGGAAAGGGATATTCCCCACAGGGGCACAGCAAAGTCCCTCCCTGGGACAAGGAACCTCAGCCCCAGATACCCAGACCTGTTCACAAGCTTACAGATACCCAGAGATGGGCACTGAAACCCCTGGAGAGCCAGGAATGTGCCTCCCAGTCCAACAGTGTTTTTATGGTTTAATGTTCTGAAGAGTTTCTCTTAGTGCTGCTGTTCCCCAGAGCCCGATTTATGCTGGAGCCAAGATCTTTGCTGTGACCCCATAAAGCAGCACTGGGAAGGGCTGGCTGGCCCTGCTTCCATGGCAGTCTCCAAAAAAACCCCCCATATTTTATCAAAAACCTTTTAAATGAAAAAGTGGAAGCAAATCTCAGGCTCACACTGGAAGATTCAGGGAACCTCAAAAGCAGCAGTTGTGTTCAGGGCAGGGTAAGGAGTCTTTCTATACCCTGAAATGGCCTTCATAGAGGACCTTCTGCCTACATTTCTATCTTGATGCCATCCTAAGGATTATTTTCCTTATTTTTTTCCCCATTTAACTCCCTTGTAAGAAAGACTTTGCTTCCATTGAGGGTGTTATAAACACTCTCATCTTTACAGAGCATTGCAGACCTGGCAGACCAGGACTGGAGCTCTGAGTGACCCTCCCCTCCCACCCCCACATCCAAACCTTCTGCCAGAAAACCAATGTGTTCTTCTGCTTGGTGGCCCTGCTAAGGACATGTGTCCCTCGGCACGTGATGGCCCTGCAGGGCAAGGAGAGCTGGAGCGGGCACGGAGGGGGTGGGCACGGAGGGGGTGGGCACGGAGGGGACCGTGGGGCTCGGGTTGACATTAATGAGCAGGAGCATTGCTCGGGGGGCAGGAGGAGAGCACAGAGCAGAGTTGTTGCTGCCTCTGTGAGTCCACCAGCTAGCAAGGCTGGGAGCAGTGACAGCCAGACCCATCCTCCACCTCTGCCCACCCCGGCGCTGGCAGGGACGAGGCTCCCACCTGCAGTTCCACTTCTCCGGGGGCTCGGCCGTGAAGTACTGCAGGTCCCTGGGGAAATGGTACTGGTAGCGCCGGGACACCACCCTGGCGTTGGCCTTCACCGACCACAGGAGGCCGAAGATGAGGAGGATGCCGCCGATGCCGCAGCAGAAGAAGCTGACGGAGCGGAGCAGGGCGCTGGAGGAGGAGGAGGAGCTGGGGACGGCCTCGGCTTCCCGGGGAGGCAGGAGGCGAGCCCCGCTGCCGGAGCCCACCTCGCCATCGCTCCACCAGGCAAAGCACAGCGTCCCCGTCACCAGCAGCACGGCCCCCGTGATGGTCAGGCCGTAGCGGAAAGAGGCGGCTGCCATCCTTCGGGAGAAGGGTTTAGGAAGGGAGAAGAGCGAGGCAAGGCATGAGAGAGCCTGTAAGACAAGAAAGGTGCCAGGTTGGAGAGGGACAAGCTCATGGAAGACCTGCGGGAGAAGCTCATGGAAGACTGAGTGAGGAGGTCCTCGGGGCTTGCAGCCCCTTTAGCCATTATTGTTATCCATCAAAAGGGGCATTTCCATCCATTTGGTGGATAACAATTCCATCAAAAGGTGGAAATTGCATTTCCATCTCAGATGGGAAGCCCTTGGGAAGAGCAAAGTCAGCACCAGGTTGGACCCATAAACTTCCCAACAGCCTGGTAAAAACATCCCAGTTTTCAAGGAGCAGCACAAAGGCAGGATGGACACCCCAGCTCCAGGCACTTTCATAGCTCTTGGCTTTGGGTTTTATTCCAAACTTCCTCCCAGACTTGGAGTAATGCCAGTTGGGTTTTCTGGGTTTTCTAAGCATGGCTTATGGAAGAGGTCGGGGAGAGGAACATAAATTTAAGATGTCATCACTTCCAAATTATCAGTGTATCTCAGTGTGCCTGTTTTCTCCTCCAGAACCGATGACATTGGAAAAATCTTCTCAATCTTTATCCACATGAAGTTTGGCACACAGAACTTTGCTTGCCTGGGTCAGCTCCAGTGCAAATGTTCTCAAGTTCCTGTCAAGATTGATCCTGCAGGTGTTATTAGCATCTTCACCCTCCCTATTGGGGTGGTTTGGGGTTGGTTTGACAACCAAACAGGTGAAGTAATGCCACATATTCTTGCTGGGTGTCCCTTCTCAGCTATATGTCACATGCAGAGAGATTCCTTGGTGCTGGAAAACTTGGGGAGGGAGAAACGGTTGCTGATCTCAGTCCCCATTGCTTTCTTCAGCAAACAGCAAACATCTGCTCCCTCAGCTTGTGCATCCCCAGCTCCCACCTAACCAACTAACCAGGGAGGCAGAGTGGTCCCTCCCATGCCCTCTGCTCCCTGCCCAGCAGGAAGATGCAGGTTCAGCTCCCACTTCTCAGTGGACAAAAAGCTTTGGACCATGTGGGAATTAAGCACTAACACCCCCAAAGAGATTCAGTCCTGGGTGACTCCAAGGTTTGTCATGGTGGCAGTGCCAGCAGAGAGCTGCACATGAGCTGCCAGGACAGGGGAGGAGCTCCAGCAGAGGTTGGTGGATAGATGGATGACCCACTTAGCTGTCACCTTTGCCTTCATCACTGTGCCTGTGTGTCAGTAACAGGACCATCATGTGCTGGCTTTGGTCTCCACTCCTCCAGGCAGGGCTCATCTCCTACAGAGGGGTCTTAAATTGTACCCTGAGATCTGGAAGTGCAGAGCCAGAGCCAGGCAGGGAGCAGAAGTCCAGCATGGACTCGTTGTCATCAAGGTCAGGTGGAATTATGTTATTTCAAGCTGGTATTTATCAGATGGGCCCACTAAATGGAAAGCCAAATTACCTTGTACTGAAAGAAACACTATCTGATCTAACCGACATTTAATGAAGGAATCTGATGAGAAGTGAGATTTAGGACAGCTGAAGGAGTGGGAGTCCCAACAGCTCACTCCAGCTTTTGTCCCAGGGTCACAAGCCCAAAATGCCACCTGGGCTGGCTGTGGCCAGTGGTCATCAGCTGTGGCCACCTGCTGGGCAGGCAGTCATGCTCCTGGGCTGAGAAAAGGCAGAGCTTCCCTCTGTTATGGGGGGCATGTTTGGATGCTCCCTCCTGAATGGCAGGGGCTTGGCTGAGCTGGGATGGAGCAGAGACTGTTGGAGATGGTATCAGATGCTGTCAGGGATCAGCATCCCCAAACCACCACTGAACATGAACAGGACACAGCAGAAGAGCTGGACTCAGGTTGCCTTGCAGCAGGAGATGCTCAGGAGAGAACAAGAACGCCACTGACCTGTGAATGCAGCCTCTTTTCAAGTAGAAATTTCAGCGTATTGTTTAGCAGAAAAAAAAAAAAAAAAAAAAAAAAAAAAAAGTCACCCAAAAAAACCCCTACAGCAAAGCTCTCAATCCAGCTGCGTGGAAATGTCAGGGCACTCCAAACTGAAACACTGGACTGAACCTGCACCAAGAGTTTAAATGCTCACCTCCTGCACAAACACTCTCCTCATTCTGGGGTCAGTCTGGTGAGGTTTGGGAGACGCTCTGAATTCCCAGGTAAGATTTAGGAGATGCTGTGATTCCCCTGCCTGGGCACGGGGAATTTTGCAGTCTCCAGCACTGAGCACATCTGGGAGAGCTGGCAACGAGGAGGAGGCGGAGGGAAGGTGGAGAAGCCTCCGATGGAGAAGCCTCTGGGAGGAGATGGATTGACAGCTCGAGAGAATAAACTCTTCTGTCTCTTGACGAGCCCAGCGCAGCGCGGGGAGCTCCCCCGCGCTGGTGGCACTGCCACCGCTGGGTGACAATGCCACCGCGCTGTCCCCTTGCCAAGCCCCTTCTGGGGCTGCCACAGCTCTCCTGAGCCTCTCCGAAAGACTCGCGGTGTTTTCTCAGCACACCAAGCGCTGGAAGAAGAGTGAAGGAGCAGGGAGCGAGGTGCGAGGCTGGGGCAGGACCCGAGGCTCCCGCAGCCTCTCCCGGGGCTCTCAGCATCTGCACAGCAGTTCTCCCTCCCCATGAGCATTCCCAGCACACGTTTTCACGGAGCCACAGCAATTGTCGGCTCTCCAATGCCTTTCCCCACTTTCCGAGCCCCCCTGACATTTTGTTCTGCCCTGTCTCCTTCTCTGACCTGCTCTGAAATAGTTTTCCGGGGAATAGATTTGCACGTTGCATGTACAAACAGATAATGTTGATAGTTTACATAGTTCCAGTGAGCCGCTGAGAATAGCAGCCCCCATATAAAGTTATGCAGATGGTGATTCATAGGGTCTACTAAGCATTACTCAGAAAAACGCTCTTTTCAAGCAACACGGGAAGAGAAAAGAGTTTTGAACCTCTCCCACCGCCATCAAGCAGAAATCCACCTCCACACCCGTCCCTCCACGGCACTTACAGACCGTCCTTCCGTACGGGGCTGGAGACCTTTCTTTAATCACAGCAGAACGGCGGGCAGAGATGCACCAAACAAAGCGTGAGCGTGTCTTTAGGGAGATCCCTTCCTGCCTCCATCCAAAATCGCTATTTTGTTGTGCTAATCACCACGGAGCGTTTGGCCCCCACTCAAAGCAAAGTAACAGCGATGCTTTGGAAGAGCTCCCAAGAACTCCGGCGCGCTCAGCCTCCCGAGGACAGAGCAGAGCCCCGGCGTCCCCTCAGCGCCCCGCGTCCCCTCTCCGGCGCTGCCCGGCCCCGCGGGCTCTGTCCGCCCGGCCGGGGGTGCCCGTGTCCCCCGCTCCCGGTCCCCCCGTACTCACCGCGCCGGCAGCCGCGCTCCGGCCGAGGCGGCTCCGCCGAGCCCGGCCCGCGGGGCGGGCGGGGCCGGGGGCGGGCGGGGGGCGGCGGCGGCTCGGGGCGGGCAGGGACCGCCGCTCCCTCCCGGCACGGCACGGCACGGCACGGCACGGCACGGCACGGCACGGCACGGCACGGCACGGCTCCCCGCAGCCCGTTCCCGTCCCGTCGGGGCGGGAGTTCGGGATGCAGAGCCCGGCAGGGTCCCCTGCGGCTGGGACATCGCTGCGGTCCTGTGTGCGCACAGCAGCGTCTCTGCCCCAGCCTTGCTCTGTGACCACTTCGGTTCTCCTCACCTCTGTGTCAAGCGCTAGTATTGTCCCTTTTCCTTATTCGTGGAATAGAACGGTTAGGGTTTGGAACGACTTTTTAAGGGCCATGTAGTCCAACCCCCCTGCAACCTGATCTTCCACTAGATCAGGCTGCTCAGAGCCCCATATCACCTGGCCTTCAATGTTTCCAGGAATAGGGCATTCACCACCTCTCCGTGCCAGTGTTTCATCAACTTCACTGTAAAAAAAATATTTCTTTATAGCTAATGTAAATCAACTTGGTTTTTTTAGTTTAAAACCATTACCCTGCAGCACTCAGGACATCTGGATATTAAACAAGCTGAGGGTGCTGTGATCTGAATTTCAGGATGGTCGGTGTGACAGCATCTGGATCCAGGCACAATTCCTCATCACGGAGCTGGAGGGAGATTTGATCAAGAGCTGCTGTACCGTGCTGTGCTATGGCTGTTCAACTCACACATCCACACAGACACAGATGCACCACGCTGCCCTTGGGCTACAGCTGAGCATCACTGGCAGGCAGAGCCATTTCTATGGATACCCTGGGCTGCTGTTCCCGCACTGCTTGGAGCTTCTCATCTCACCAGCTCAAAACCAGCTCAAGGTTTACCTGCACATGCCACAGGGACTGATGCAAAGCCCCACTGTGGAATTCCTATCTGCTTCATACATGATTAGAAGTCACTTAGCCCACCTGAGAACGTGTGGGTGTAGAGCTCCATTTACCTGTAGCCACTGTGGAGTGTCACAAATGGCAAACTGAGGCACACAGGGGGCTGGTTCACACAGGAGTGGCCCTGCAGCAGGTTGGGTCTCCATCCTAGAGGAGCATGGGGCAGAAGTCCCCAAGGCCAGCACTTAGTGATGTGGAGGCACTGTGAATCAGCAGTCACCCTATCAAAGGACAATAAGACAACTTTTTCTGTTCCTTACCTGAAATGTGATTGTCAAACAGCATCTGAAGCACTTTAAGGTGGTGTCAGTGCATGGCTCCATGCTATTCCCAGCACAGGGCTGCAGAGTGAGATGGCTTTGTGCCAGCACACTGGTTTTTCAGCCCCATAACCATCCATAACCTTCTGCCTTGCCCAGGGGTCTGGGCAAATATTCCACCACAAGGTAGAGGCTGGAAGTGGTCAGTGGTACCAGCACCTCTGTCTGCTTACCAGCACCTTGGCCAAAATGCATTTTACCCCTCTAAGAACTTTCCTGCAGGTGGAGAAGGTGCTGCAATATGGGGCACAGGGAAAAGGCTTCTCCAGAATAAAGACAGAATATCTGTGCAAAATATGTGAAACATCCCATGTATGGTGAAACTGCAGTGGAGAAAACAAGGAGATATAAAAGACAGTTACAGCCCCTGCAAGAACAAGAACAAAGGAGGAACGGGGAAGGAGATTGTTCCAGTAATTGCCTCCCCCAGGTAAGGATGCTGAGCCTGAGCAACACTGCTGGCACAAAAAAATGCTGCTTTTTGATTCATTGTTCACCTAATTTTGCTGCTGCAGCAAATCACATGTAAAATAGTACATTTCCCTGTATAATCAAGATAAATAAGCCAGCTTTTTCATTAGGGGTGTCGGTGTGCAAGCCAAGAATGAATTTGGATGCACCAAGTCCAGAGCACAGGCTCCCTGACAGAATCCTCATTTATGGCACCTGGGCCAGGCCACAGGTGTCCATCAGTGATTTGGCACAGAGGACACTCACCCCATGCCCAGCTGCCCCCAGCAAGAACCTCTAGTCACATCCCCTGTGACAGAGTTGCAAAAGATCCACTGATGTGTCTTCAGGGGTCACATCTCTGCAGGCATGAGGTGTCCATGTTGTCCAGATCCATGGAGAAGCCATTCCCAGAGGCTGGCACACCTCATGTTTTCCCAGACTCTGGGTGCAGCCTGCCAGGCTGACAAGGGGCTGCAGCATGAGGATGCCATGAGGATGTGCAGATGGGAGAGAGTTCTGGCATCCAGCACGTGGAAAGCAAAGGAGAAATCTCCTGCTGTTTATCTTTGCCTTAATTTGCATCTTCTTAAAATGCCTAATTAGTCGTGCAAGTTGATATTCTGGCTCAGGCACTCCTACTTAATCCAGTCAGCAAACCCGAGCTTTGAAAATATTTGCCCTACATCTTCACATGAGGTAACATTCACTGGTGTCCTTTGGGGTTGAACCTGCAGCTGGACATGGATCTCCCTGTGGAGGTCTTGCTGCATGGGCAGCTGGAGGGTTTGGGAGCCCTCCTTTGTGGTCTCCATCAGGAAATGCCAAGCATTTGGATGTGAAAGGAGATCAGCCCCCTGACCTCAAAGTGGTGTGTGGATTTTTTGGCTAGTTCACCTAGAAGTATTCCTCCTTCAGATCAGCTGTGTTTTTGACCCAAGACTTTATTGAATGCCAAAGTCCTTTTCATACCATAATATTTACTTTGTAATATATCTTATTATTAAGTTCCAATGGCTTTACTGAGTTTGAATTATAACAGGAGAACAAGATGTGTATGAAGTTGTTTAATATCAGTTTCTCTTGTGGTTCCTCCACTAGCTATGTCCATCATCTAGCAAGCCACTAGACCCAAAACCTCTGAGTGTTTTAAAGCTTAAATTTTGCTTACTCAGCTGTAATGATGTGCCAACCAACAGCCTGTAAATCTGCACCACACTGAGGAGAACAGCTGTGGTGGAAAGTTTTGGAAAGGGACTTTGGAAGTACAGATAGCATCATCCACAGAGGGCTTTATGGACAAGCAATGCTCTCAAATTCCTCCATCTCCTTCTCTGAGACTTGTGTCTGTACAGGAGCACCTGGCTGAGGTGCCACCTCCTCTTGGGGCTGTTGTGTAGAGAAATGGGTATGATAAAGCTTTGGGTTTCCATAAGAGAAATGTCTGTGTTGCAGATGAGGACAGAAGGAGCTTTTTAGGAGCTTTCCAACAAAATCTGAAAAGGATTTGAAATTTGCCCAACAAGGGCTGGGGGAAGAAAATAGTTAAATCCTGATGCCTCAGCTCAGCCTTTAGGCAGACAAAACCTTTCCTGAGCTCCTGGAGATTTTTGCTTCAGGGAAGCCCCGTGTCTGAGCTTCTTTCTTTCTCCATGAAGAGGCAGCACGGTTGTGTTACACGTGGGTAACCCACCATGCAGCGTGTTTTACATGCCACAGCTGCTGCAGCTCTGCTGGAGTGTGAGCTGCAGTGAGGAAACATTGATTTCCAGCCCTGTAGGCTCCTCAGTCAAGCCTGATGTCAGTCACATCTATCACACTTGAGCAGAGAGAGCTATGGAGACATGCCCTGGCTGCTGAAACACAGCAGCTGCTTGCTTTACTCCACACATCAGATATCTGAGCTCCTGTGTATCCTTGATTCCAAATGCTGATGTTCAAAGGAGCAGCAAGAACTTTGATTAAACACAAAACTGGCTAAATTTGCTTCCCAGTGAACTCAGCATGAGGTGTGAGATGAACTACAGTTATGCTGACATCCCCAAGACCTGGTGCTTCTTCATGTCTGCTGCATGCAGCCATTACAGAGCTCTCCAGGGAGCAGGAATTGGGTTGGGCTTTGTTTATTTTTCAGCCCAAAAATGCAAAAGAGAAGCTCAAAGCAGCATTAATTATAAATTTTAGAGAAAAAGGGTGGAGCAGCCATCTAGCTCTTCTGGTTGCCACCACATGTGAAGCCCTTGGTGTCCAACACACATCTGTCCCAGATGTTCCACAGCTGTTTTCCTTTCCCAGTGCCCCTGCATTATCCCACTGCCTGCCTTGGCATTGGGCTGCCCACAAGCACTTGTTCACATCAGTGTGCTGTGCTGGGAGGTGGCTGAGGATTAAAATGCTGCCAGCAAACCTTGCAAACATTTTGTTGGAAGCATGACAGCCTGGGGAGAGACACAAGGAATGGCTGAGAGGAGGAGGGTTTCAAGGTTTCTTAAAGAATCACCAGCTAAGGTATCAGCAAAAACAGATTTAATATAAAAGCAGCAGCACAACGAAATTTGTTGGCAAGGTTCACTCTATTAGTTATTAAAGGTTAAAGCACAGAGAGGAAAAAAAGCAAACAAAAAATCCAATGTCAATCAATCCAAACTGATAGAAACACAACATTATCTATGTGAAGGCTGGGCTGGCGAGGGGGAGACAAAACGACAGGAGACAGTAAGGATAAAAAGGATTATATCCTAAAGGCACAGCAGTTCTTCAATAAACAGCACTTAAACTTAACAGCACTTAAATCTAAGAGATTTAACTTATGTTGTCAGTTAAGCCAAACAATACAGCAAAGGATTCATAGAGGATTTACTATATCACAAAAGTAACTTACCTACAGGCCTAACTTCCTTCCAAATCTAAAGTACTTAAGGATCCAGGAGAGCAGCATTCCCAGGACATTTGATGCGGCAGATGCACACTTGCATGCACACTGACATCAAGAGTCTGTACAAGATACCTGTAAGGAATTCCCTTCTAATTCAGTGAAATACTCACCTGGGATGCCTTTGGTGCCCTGCTGTGCCCAAAAGCCTGTCTGCTTTCTTCACAGCTCATCTGCAACATCTGCTGTTGACCCAGTAAGAGCTCTGTGATTCCTATCCGCACAGCTTGCCTTGCTTTAACCCAGAACATTTACATCTCCTTACACAGGTTTCTAGGTAACTGAAGATAATTTGGAACTCTGCAAGAAATGACAGGAGGTGAGTTTGGGAAATAACAGGCTGCAGCTTCTCTGTAGTGGCATTAAAAGAGTCAGCGGATATCAACACTCATCTCCAGTGCCACAGCTCCCTCAGTGGGGAATTTGCCTCGCACTGGTTAGCTCTGTGGTGTGAGGCTCTGAGGAGACCCCGCTCCTGATGTTCTCCTGATGATGTTCTCCTGATTTCTGCCTGAAAGGAGCAGCACCAGCAGGAGATTTCTCCTATGGAGGTTTATGAGCAGGTTGCTCCCTCAGTCTGTAAGAGAAAAACTGATTCAGTACTGACTTGGAAGAAAGTGGGGGATGTGAATGTGAGTAACAGGCATTTGCAAAGATGCATGGGAAGAAACTGCTGGAGGACATTGCCTAAGTTAGTTACCTTCAGACTGAAAAGAGAGGTCTCCATCTACCATATGCAGCTGACTTAGATCAGCACCTCAGGCTGCGACAGGACCTCACAGAAAGCACCCATGAGCAGCATCCCTGAGACAGAGACCTGCCATCCCACATGGAGAACACAGGCTTCCCTGCTCAACCTCCCTGGGAAGCCACCCAGGATACAGAGAGTTAATCTGTCTCCCCAAAATGTATCCTGTCCTTTTCTTTGTCTACCCATCTTATTTGAAAAGGTGCGGTTTTCCTCCCCTGGCAATTCTCCTGTGCCAGAGAAATATCAGCTCTTGATTGTTTCACACAGGGATGAAACTCTCCTGTCCTGATTCCCTCTGCCAGTTCCAGCATGAGGGAAATCCATCCCAGCCCTATAACTTTCATTAGCCTGGATTTAAGCAGACATCTCAGTGCAATAAAGGTTCAGAGCTTATTACAGACTCTGGGCTGATACCATAGATAATGGTAATTAGCTGCTCTGGGATGACAGTGGTTTATTGCTGGCTGATTTCTCAATGTTTTCCTTAAGCAATCTGTTAAAAAGAAAATGGGCCTTGCCAAGGATGGAGAGGGCAGGAGGAGACAGAAAGTAGCTGAGTCTGCAGCTCAGCACATGAGGGGCTTGGAAGTGCACCTGGAGTTTACCATGAGCTGGGGGCAGGATCAGTGCATTTACCCATTCTCAGATTTATTTGTGAGTCACAGGGTTTTTGTGGGTGGGTATTAAAAGACCACTCTTCCCTATGGACAGGATGCTGCAGCAATCATATTTTGATGCTTACTGGAAGTACAAAAAAAAATTGTGGTTTGGTTGTGTTAGAAGGTACTGAAACTGCTGACTCATTTTACTAGGTATGGCTGCAACCAAGTCTGCCAAGCTGGATTCTACAGAAATTTCCTGTATTAAAGGAAACTGAGCAATCACATCCTCATCACCTTTGGTGCAGACACCTCTTCCAGCCACTGATTTGCAGAGCTGAGGACCAGTCAGTTCCTCCAATCCTCAGCCTGAAAATCGTTCTGTATCTCCATGAGATGATCCACACATGGGAGCACATCTTGTTCTTCTCCACAGAAAGGGGCAGGAACCTCTTCTCAAAGCCTCCAGCTTCCTTCTGCTCACTTCCATACACGTGGGAGTCGCTTCCAAGGCACATCTGCTGTTGAAAGGAGCTGAGCAACATGGAGGGAACAAATACTGGCAATCAGCTTTCGACCTGATTTCATACTGAGTTTTCTAGTGAAAAAAAAAAAAAGGACATTTGTAGTCTATCAGCATAGCACTGAACCACATTAAATACGCCTCCATTTATCTTCAGTAAGACCAATACAGTTCCTTATTATTGGAACAATGGTATATTTTTGTCACCCTTAATTATTAAATTATCTGGCTGCAATTTCTTCATTTATTAAAAGAATATGCAAGGTAACTTTAACAGCTATACAGCTCTTACATAACCAACATCTTAAACACTTTTTTTCCAGCCATCCTTTTCCTTTTTTTTTCGCTTTCCTCACGGCTTTCCTATTTTTCTTTGGCATCAGTAAGTAAACCCAAAGGGAGAGATCCTACAGTTGCAATGATGTTTTTGGAGCATGGCCTGGAGTTTTATCAGTTTACATTATATGGGAGTGGGCCCATGAAATGTTTAAAATGTTGAAATAAATGAAAGCAGACAGGTGATAGAGTGACAGCACCAGACAGAGAGAATGGCCACAGCCAAGGCAGTGCAAGCCTTAGCTTTATTTGGAGTAAAAGGGCTTGCAACTACATCTAGTACTGGGAGGCTAAACACACAGGCAGGTTTTCTGGGAGCTGAAAATGGGAGAAAAATTTGGCCTGTACAGAAAAACAACTTGTAGTGCTTTCCTCTGGTGACATTGGCAAGCCTTCACCATCACCAAATGATTCCTGCATGTTCCCACAGCATTTACCACTCCAAGCAAGAAGATTCCAGGGGCAAGTGGGGGGAGAGAGTACCCTGCAGTTGCTCCCCACCAGCTGTGGGGAGTGCCTTTGTGGCAGAGTTCACCCTGAGCATCCTGGAAGCCACTGGCATTTGTGTCCATGTTGCCATGAGTCTGGAATAATGCATTTATTGCCTTTCAGTGACTGCAGCTCGTTTCTGATGCCCAGCACAGTTGGTGTCCCCAGGATCTCACCGACAGAAGGAGACAGGGGAGCATCACACCTTCTTCACCCACTTCTCCTCCTCACTCTCATGGCTGTAAAGCCAACTGATGGTTGCCATGAGCTCACTGTCCCCGCTGCTCACCCAGAGGAGTGTGACCTCCCTCAGCCTGTAGTTTGAGTGCTGGAACCCCAAGTTCTTCAGTAACCACCTCTCCACACCCACTGCCATGCCACAGCCATTTCATTTCCACCACAGAGCATTGTCACTACCCTGGTGACAGTGACAGTGAAGGGAGGGCTGAATTCCTTTCCCAGGCTGGCTCTCTGTTTTGACAAGTGATTCTTTTTATAAATCCCAGACAGGGTATCCCTTCAGAGGCAATTGTAAAGCTGGATTTAATGCACATCACAGAGAATACACGAAAGCTCTAGTACATTCTGCAGCACTGGGGGTTTTTTGGTGGCTCTGTGAACGTGCTGACCAGCAGCTGACCTTTCCTCCTGATGCAGAGCACAGCCACTGAAGGACAGGACACGCTCTGCCATCGTCAGTATTCCCAATTTCACTTCACACCCTGCATCTCTTTCCGCCCAAGGTGGTGATGGATCCCACCAGCCACCTACAGTAGCTCTCCATCAGAGGAGTGAGGCCTTGTGACATTATTGGTGTCAGAGCACATGGGATACAGCCCAGGTATCCTTGATTCCTGCAGCACCGGTTACTCCTTCTCTTGGTGAAGCCCTTTCCAGTGTGAACAGGGTGGCTGCAGCCTTGAGAGGACAGAGGAAGGCAAGGAGGAAGAGCAAAGTCACCCCAAGGACTCAGTGTGCTGGGCAGGGTGGACCAATCCACATGGAGAGCTTTCCCCACCAGGGATGTTAAAGAAGTCCTTCCACACTATGTCCACCTACACCTAAAATAGTCTTACCAATCTAACCTTGCCTAAGCCTTCAGTTGGTGTTCCACTTCCCCTGAGAGCTATCTGGGAGTTTCTAAAGTAACTAAAAATTCATTTTCCCTTTCTGACTGATTTCCCAAGGGCCACCGCAGCTACAGCTGCTGTACCCTCTGCCCTCCTCCTCTTCAAGCCACCACACGTCTCTACTCCCTCACATGAAACATTTGTGAAACCTGAGAAACAGGTCCTGGGCAATAGAAATCCCATTGATAAATATCTTTCAACAAAAACCCATCTGGAAACTGGTCAATTGAGCACTATCAGGTAAACACGGGGACACCACGCTCCCCTACAGGCTTTTCCTTCAGGATGACTGAACATACTTTGGATTTCTCAGCAGAGGGAGCTTCTCACAAGCAGTTTGAGCACCACCTCCCTCCAACCCTCAGAAACGCTCCCGTTTCAAACAAGCTTTGCACCAAACCAACGTGCAGGAAAACCGAAGGCAGCTGACTCCTAACCCCAAGTAACCATCGGCTGGTTTGTTTATTGATTTAAGCAGTCTTTCCAAAATTCTTTATAAGTTTTCATAACTATTCCTATTAAATGCCTGTCCTTTCAACATCCCGGTACAGCTCAGCAGTGGCTCTGGGGCAGTCAGTGCCAGGGCTGTGAGAGTTTGCAAGGAAAAAATGGGCTTTTTTAATGCTTTTCAATGTCTTCCTTTGGTGCCACTGAAGGCCTCTTGATATTTTTCTAATGGAAAGAAGAAAAGCCTTCAGCCTACTTTTGTGTGCAGCTCAAATGCTCTGTATGTTATGACCATGCAGTGTGGCCAGCAGGATCAGGACAGAGATTGTCCCCCTGTGCTTGGTGCTGATGAAGCCACACCTGGAATCCTGTGTGCGTTTTGGGGCCTCTTATGACAAGAAAGACATTGAGGGGCTGAGGTGTGTTCAGAGAAGGGCAGCAGAGTGGGAAAAGGGCTGGTGCACAAGTCTGAGGTTGAGGGAGTGGTGGGGCTCAGCCTGGAGACAAGGAGGCTCAGAGGGGACCATCTCAGTCTCTACAAACTCCCTGAAATGAGATTGGAGCCAGGTGGGGGTCAGGGTCTTCTCCCAGGGAACAAGGGACAGGACAAGAGGAAACAGCCTCGAGTTGTGCCAGGGAGCTTTGGACTGTTCATCAGGAACAATTTCTTCACATAAAGGGTTATCAAACACTGGAACAGGTTGCACATGGCAGTGGTGGAATTATCATCCCTAGAGGGGTTTAAAAGCTGTGTGGATGGGGCACTTGGGGTGGTGGCCTTGGCATTGCTGGGGGACACAGCTGGTCTTGATGATCTTAAAGGGCTTTTCCAGCCTAAACAATTCTATGAGTCCATGACTCGGTGTCCCTTCTCCCTGTTCAGCTGCATCTTTTATCCAAAAGCCTTTGCATGGTTACCACCAAGCCCTGCTGGGTAAGGAACAGAGTCCTGTGCAGGGCTGGCAGGGCAGTCTGG